GATTTCAAAATTATGTTTATTTAATACTAGCGCAAAAATAATAAAAAATAATGATAAAATAATAAATACTTTTGTCATTTTAGTCCAGTTACTCAGAATCCGAAGAACTGCTAGAAGATTCATTAGGATTAATTATTATCGGATTTCTATCAACTAATTCATCAACTATGTGATCTAATTCTAACATTTTCACTTCTACCTTATCTTTTACATGTCCTACGCAATTATTCCATTTTTCAGCAGTGATAGACAAAACAGCTTCACTGAAAATATTTTTAAGATCGCAAAATTTAAAAGTAACATTTTTGTTTGCAACATAGTTTTTTATGTCCGCCCAAATAAGCTCTATTGGGTTGAGGTCGCAGTGATAAGGGGGAAGACGTAATACTACTCTATTATGTACGTAAATGACCATTCCGACCCTGTAACGATTAGGCCAAAAGCAATAAGTTCCCCTACCTTGGAAGTCCCCTACAGATTGCAGGTAAATCCGATTGGCCAGCGTGAGGGGTTTGTTTATTTTAGCCCAATAGATGCAAAGCCACGTGCCGATCATGCTTCGATCACGCACGGAAAGTGTTTTGGCCCGCTTTTTTGGTTCCATGGATATAGTATAATTCTGTCTCTTTTTGACTACGGTGACGTTGTTTATGGAAGCTCCTTGATAGGGCGAACAAAACGAATGATTCAAAAAATTCAAAATAGCTGTATGAGATTTTCATTTAACATTCCTTATAGAGACCATATCACGCCATACCTAAATACTAATAATATAATAAACATGGAAAACAGAAGAAAAAAACACATGTATAATTTTATCTATAGAATTATCAAACAGGGCAGTCCAGGATATTTGAAGAGTATTTTTGCAATTTCTAGTCACAGACATAATACTAGGCTCAATGAACATTTTGTTTTGGCACAGCATAGGACTGCAACTTTTCAGCGATCTTTTGCATTTGTTGCAGTTCAAATGTGGAATAATTTGCCTGTGACGATGAAAACTTGTGGTCCGGAGTCGTTTTCGAAGCAGGTTAAATTAAAACTATTAGAAGAACAGGGAACGTAATGCTTTTAAGTGCTTTTTAACTGTTTATTGGTAAGGCCTTATGGTATATGGATGTATGCATGTGTATATAGGAACGGAGATATCAGTTATGTGCAAAAACTCTAACTTGGGATGAACTTCATACGCTTCTACGATTACATTCGCCCCCTGTCCTCCCTGTCTCCTTTTCGGTTGCCGCCCAGCTTTCATTCTTCATTCTCCATACCGCATCAGCTTTGTTTAGAATATAGGATTATAAACCTCTATTTAAGTAGTTTTTTTTTTGTGTAATTTAATAATTTAAGTGGGTAATATATTAATATATTAATTAGGAATAATCACAGGGCAGCTTCGCATAGGCACTATGGTGCAATATGTAAGCGGTTTTTATAATCGAGAAGATGTCCTTTTTGTCATGAAATTATCTAAGTATTCAGTTTATGTTATTATATTTAGGTTGTTGGCAAATAAATGCTTTTGAATTTGAATTTGAATTAAATTTTTTTCAATATCTTGAACCCCTTTTTCTGCGGTTTCATTAGAACTAGGGTGAATTGGAGGGGTTAAAACTAGGTGAATTGGAGGGGTTAAAACTGGGATCATTCCATTTGCTTGACAAAATTTGATGAATTCAGCTGAGTTATATGGTGAACCGTTGTCACTAACTATTTGGTTAGGTAGGTAGGCCCATCATAGAAAAGGTTATCTTAAGTTTCTCAATAGTAACCGAAGCTGTTGTAGAAGACATTAAATGAATATCCACCCATTTCGAGCAGCTGTCATGAATTATTAAAAATTTATTTGCTTTCTCCAAAGTCTGCATCAAGGTGTTTGTATCCAATCTCGGTTTTTCAAAATGTCGCTTATCTGATAGGTCACAGTTCGATATTTGCTTAACTAGTTCGAGAGTTCCAATAATCTCTCCTCCCTTTATTTTTACTGTTTCAGGAGAAACATTGGCAATTCTTATCATAATGTCTTCATTTGTTCTTACTAGAGTCTTTCCAACGAGAAATTTTTCTGGTTTATCTCCAATAAAATTATGTGTTAGTCCAACGCAGCACCCAGGATTTGTTTCCAATTTTCTGCAAATGATCTTTCTCAGTATTTGCAGGAACTCTCACCGCCTCTTGCTGGAAAATGTTTCCAGGACTTAGATAGGCGAAATAATTCATCTCGCCCCAGTCAATAAAGGCAAAGGAAATGATTAACCTTAGTGAAGCGGATCTAAGGCTGCTAACAGGTTTCCTAAGGTCACTGCTTTCTGGGCTACCACCTGAAAAGGAGGCAAAACAGAATCAGACCTATGCCGCTTCTGTGAATAAGCCTCTGATGAGTCTGCGTAACACATACTTTGCAACTTCGAGGCATAGTGTTGCAGAAGACTTATCCATCTGGAGCCGCCCTATTTAATGGCTGCGAATGTGAATCCCAGGAATATTATCGGCTTTGCCAAAATCCTTAATTTGGGAACTCACTAGATATAAGGGGAAGCACGATAAATCTAATCAGAGCTGTTTTCGGGTGCCACCCTTTGAGCGCTCCCGAGCTACTCCGAAGTAGTCCGGCTACAGTTTGACCCGTTCGGTTTCAAGCGTTCGAGTGCAAAACGCATAGAGTATGACAGGTCACTGACAGGTGTGAAGTGTTCTAGGAGCTTCGCACTCCGCACCCGAAAGCGGCTCAGGTCGCAGTGCGAAGAGGTTTAAAAAACCCAACCATCACATTCTCCAATCTACAATCTAGAAACTTATATACAAAAACACCAAATCGAGGAACAAGAAACCTTTCAATTCACGTAAATGCTTGTTTATTTGAATATTATCCATTTCTTGGCAAAAACTACCAACTTCCTGATGAACAGTTTTAACTTCCTGAGGGAAAGTCCCAACCTCGCACCCAACTTCTTCACAGGCTTTTTCCATTGCATCCTTTCCCTTCCAGGATTTTCTTGTTGTAAAAGTGCTGTAGGCCGTTCCTGTTCTATTTGTCTTCAGGTTTCTCTTTGTTGTGTTGTCTTTTTTTCTGTCATGGATATATCGCTTTTTTCCATGTCTCAAGGATGAAGTATTAATTGCGGCTTTGAACCTAACTCCTTTAAAGCGAGATACGAAACTTTTTTTTTGAAAAGCTACGCAGTAACCAAAAGAAAATATTGTAAGACTTTGGATTTATTTATATAAACTTCTTGCAAATATCTAGTTTTCTATAAAAATAATTACATATTCACATTTAAATTAATGATGAGAAAATTACTTATATTAAAAAATAATTTTCACATAAATAAACGTATGCATGCATGTACATATAAAATTACTCATTTTAAAGTATCTGGGAGCAATTAAATAAATTTGTGTAAGGTTTCATTTATACTCATTAAAATTGTGTCAATGATTTATTTCATAAGCGCAAATTTCAACTTCAACAAAGTTTTCTATTGAAATGTATTCGAGTTTGAATTTGAGAAATTATTAAATAATACAATCTTCTTTTTAATTAAACATGATCCGATGGAACAAGTAAACTTTGAACAAGTTTAATTAACTTAATGTCAATAAAAATTTTGCATCGCATTTACTTGCGGATGGAGTTCATTAATTTCAACTGAAAAAATGTCACCTGAGGTATGAAAATTTAATTGGTAATTCCGTATCTCTATCCCTAAATTTGCTCGTATTAAATTCGTATTGGAATTTACGTCACGTGTACATAGGACAATTCGCATATCCGTTCTCTAATTTCCACCTCTATTGTCCATTTGGTTTTTATTTATATAAAATTGAATTTCATCTGCCATAGCTCCAGGTCGTATAAATGGAAGTTCAATTGAAGCGGGTTTTACATAAAAGAACAAACTAGAAATTGTATGGTCGGAATATTTGTTTTCCTCTGTTTGTGCATAACAAATGTTAAATGCCCTCGGATATTTTAGGCGTTATGATTTATTTTAAAAAGATTCATATTTTAAATAATTTACTGATTTGATAAATATTGGCTATGTTCTGATATGAACTGTAGGTACCTACTGAATTTACTGGACGCCGTTCCGATATTATTTCCAGTACACTGGATTCCGTCGATTCAGTACTGCATGACCACAAGAGTACGCTGTTGAAATCGGAACGGCAAATGACACTAAAATCAGCACAGTAAATCCACTACTGGCAGTTGATATCGGAACATAGCCATTATCTATAAGTGTGATAAAGATGGCATCTTCGACATCCAGCTGGGTATCGATTCGGAATTTTGTCATCACTGGCCGGTGTCATAACTGACACATGTGTCCATAAATGGATGTCTGTAGCTAGCTCGTAATTGAGGAAATTGTTCAAAATCTGGCAATTTTTTTCTATTAAATTTTAGATAGGTAACTTCTAAGGAGATGCTTTGGTAAAAACAAAAACTCAAAGTAATAAGAACTGCTATCTGGGCTTACACATTATTGGCTCCCTTGGTTTTGTGGAGAACACTTTTCTATCCTATTAAAAATATGTGGAATGGAAGTAAAAATACAATATATGAGAGTACTCCTACAAGCTTTAATAAATCCACTCTTCTAGCTAAAAACCAAAGAAGAGTTCCAGTGATTTATTTCTCTGAAAGAGGAAACATTTACATTCTAGACATTTATAATAAGAATCCGGGAAATATTTTGCCGGAAAAATGGAAAATGCTTCATCCGTTTTTAAGCGAGAGCTAGAATTTGATTTATGGATGAAAATCGATGCGCTTCTTTTAAAAAGTCTATTTCAGGGGCCCTGAAAATTTTTATTACAAATTTAAATTTGCTTAAGTTATGCCTGTGTACTATTGCACGCAGAAATTTTAAGTTAATAGTAAATCTTCTTTGTTAAATTAGCATTTTAATGCGTGACTTTAAGTATTCTATTAGGTCTTCGTTAAGTTTCTTGTTCGAATTATTAAAAAGATTATTGATCAAATATTTTACCTGTTGCCAGCGTAGATGGGGAAAATCCGTAGCAAACACTGCCGAAACTGCAACGTGGGCGGCACAAAGCAAAAATCCGAATACGCCAGCTACCCAAGACTTCAAAGGCATCATCGCGTATGCTAAAAAGATCACGAAGACAACCTGAAAAGAAAATCTAAGTATTATAATATTTTTGATATGAATACCTAATTATGTTGGAAAAAATATTTCATAATTGCAGTAATCTAATTGATGTTATAGGCTTAAAATACCCCAGCTTAGGGAAAACGTGAATCTGACAACCCGTATAATTTATTTTGATTAGATTGGAACGAACACGATTAGATTATAATTCAGGTAGAATAGAAACCAGGAAAAATGCAGAAGAGACAATAGTTGAAGTGTTTGAAGAAAATCTATCAGACTCTGAGCACGAAGTGTTATATTCGGTAGTCGAAGATGATTATCATCATAGGCGATCACTCGATACCGAGTATAATTATCTTTCATTCTATTCTTATTGTCGTCGATTGTGCCTTTTTTTAAGGGCATATAAACCAATTCTGGAGTCGCGCACCCTTCTACAGTTTTGGCACACCCAGCCCAGCCTCTGGCAGCATTGTCTCTTCCTCTGTTTTCTCACTCCTTCCTGCATTACCTCGTTTCGGTATCGTGTCGGCTTGGCTAGTCTTCAAAAGTTTATGGTCCGTCCTGGACTATTCGACGCCATTATGAGGGGCTATCGATGCCATATTCTCCTTAAGCATGTCTTTGTAGCGTATTTGTTGACCTCCTTGATTTAGTTTTCCGTCTTTCAGTTGACTGTGGAGAATCTGCCGTGGAAGATGTGTTTCGGGCATGCTGCGAGGTGACCTGTCCAGCAAAGTTGGTGCTTAATGATGAGAGCTTCCATGCTAGTTGTTTTGGCCTTCTCTAAAACACTAATGTCCGTTTACCGGTCTTGCCATTTAATCCGTAGGATCCTTCTCAGGCATCCCTGGTGGTATTTTTTTAGGGCTTTTATGTGCCGTCTGTAGGTGGTCCATCTTTCGGTATTACAACTGCATTGTAGACATGAAGTTTGTTCTCAGCGCTGATGTGGTGATTGTTGAAGAGCCTCTCAAGAAGTCACCCAAACGCCGCGCTAGCACACTTCAAGCGATGTTGAATTTCAGCGTCAATGCATTCGCTGAGAGATGGCTCCCAAGGTATTGGTTGTGTTCTACCTTCTGCAAAGAATGGTCATTTTTCATTATCTCATAGAATTCATTAGAATTTGCGTATTGTTAAAGTTAACCTCTAGGTCGATTCTCCTCTTTGCCTGGTTGAATGCATTAATAATTGCCTGAAGATCCTCCTCCTCTGTATTGGCCATCACGACGTCATCATCCGCATATTGAAGTTCATTTATCGATACTTTCGTCTCGGCTCTTAAACTGTTTGGGTTAAAAAGACGCTGTCAAGTCTGTGCAGGATTTCCACTCCTGATGGCAGATGACTCTCGACAAGGTAAAGTATGGATCCTATAAATAGAAAAAATAAAGTGGGTGCAGTAATACAGCCCTGTTCAACGCCTGTAGTTATTCGAAGACTCTTCTTGTTTCTCTGACAATATCTCCAAAACGGCTTGTTATACGGAAAAAATGTATTTATACAATTTTGTAGCGAATACTATTTTACATAAGTTTTGTTTTGAGTTCTTCGACGTCAGATGCACTGGGAGCGATATTTTCGCGAAAAAGCCGATTTTCACGACCTGTGACCTTCGATATCTCAAGACGCACAAGGGTAGGCATATGAGATATTTTTTTGTGCTTCATTAGAACATCAAAACGAAGGTCTCTGCAAATTCAGCTTGTTCGGCCTCATTTCGCAAAGGAAGTCTAATTTCCCTGAAGTATATACCAAATTAGTAGCTTGAAAAAAGGTCCTGGTGCTGTTGGATTCAGCTAGTTGCTGCGCATTTCGTTTGATTTTGTTATTCACTATTGGTTCTTCAATGCTCGCGTTTGCCTTTGAACTTGTGCTTGTTGGTATTGGTATTTTTACAGTCGAGCTAGGGTCGCTTTTCCATGCATTATGCGCTTTTCATTTTCTTTCTATAAGGTCTTGAATTTCAGTGTCGTTCTCATCATCTCTTAAATTTTCAGAGAGGAGACAGAGAGGACCAGTCTCGTTAGATTGTGCTTCCTTTCTCTACCAAAATGTAAGAGGCTTAAAAACCAAACTCAAAGATGCTTTCTGTGCGGCTCGCGCCGAATCTTTCTCAGTTATTGCACTTACGGAAACCTGGCTAGACTGTAGTATCTGTGATGCCGAATTTCTTGACTCGCGTTACACGGTTTATCGCTCTGATAGAAGCAGTCTGAACAGTACTAAAAGCCGTGGAGGTGGGGTCCTTTTGGCAGTAAATAATTGCCTAAAATCTCATCGCCTGTCAATTGGTGAAGCATCGGTCGAGGAAACGTGGGTGTCTGTTACGCTGGGTGACATGGTCTTCTGTATTGGCTGTGTCTACATTCCACCTACCATGGATGTGCTCCATTATGAAAACCATTTGAAATCAGTTGCTAGTGCCTGTGAAATGTTTGATAATGTGCTTGTTCTTGGAGATTATAATCTTTCCCAAATAACGTGGTCCACTAGTGAGGATCTCTCGGGTTTATTACCTGGAAATGTAAGGACAACTAAGGAAATATTGTTATGTGATAGTACTGCTTCTCTTAATCTGTCTCAATACAATGGGGTGGCTAACGATCATGGTTCAATCCTGGATCTATGTTTTGCCAACTTTGGGCCTATTTCACTTGTAACATCTGACGGTCTGGTGGGATGTGATCGTTATCACCCAGCTCTAGAGTTTTCCATACCTGTTGTTAAAGCTAAATTTCTGAAGCCTCTTAATTATTTTTCTTATGACTTTAAAAATGCCAATTTTGATTTGGTTAATGAATATTTTCTTTCCTTTGATTGGCGATCCATTATGATGGATGATCTAAACGAAACTGTTAAGAGCTTTTACTTGGTACTGTTCGACTGCTTTAATATGTTTGTTCCAATAAAGGCACATTCTTACAGCGAGAAATTTCCTATCTGGTTCTCTAACGAATTGAAAAATCTGATTTTTCAAAAGAAAATTGCTCACAGACGATTCAAGCGGTCGAATAGAGGTTTGGATTACTTTGCATTTAGTACACTTCGGCGAGATTGTAAAAACCTCACCAAAGAGTGCTATAAATTATACATAAGTGATACTGAAAGAGCCATAGGCACCAATATGAAAATTTTTTGGAACTTTATTCACTCCCAATCTAATCAGGGTACTATTCCTAACGAAATGTTTCTTGCCTCAGAAAAGGCGTCCAACGGTGTTGACATAGCTAATCTTTTTGCTGTCTATTTCTCCTCCGTCTATAACCCTCAGAGAAATTCCGACGCTGGAACCTTTGCTGATCGATTTGAGAATGTTTCAAGCATTGTCATAGATCCAACAGATATTGAGAGGGCTTTAACGCAATTGGACATCAACAAGTCTGCAGGACCTGATGGTATTCCCAACAAAGTACTAAAATCTTGTTCTAACACTTTGTATCTTCCTCTGTTTAATATTTTCAACAAATCATTATCTTCTGGAATTTTTCCATAAATGTGGAAGCTCTCCTACGTTTGTCCTATTTACAAGTCAGGCAGCAAAAATGATGTAATAAATTACAGACCCATCAGCATTCTGTCTGCGATTCCAAAATTATTTGAGCAGTGCGTGGAAGGAATTCTTTCAAAAATATTTCATCAGATTGTGATCAGTCAACAGCACGGTTTTACAGCCGGTAGATCCGTTGAGACGAACCTGTTTCTCTTTACAACATTCATAAATTCATCATTTGCTAATAATGCAGAAACTCATGCAATATATACTGACTTCAGTAAAGCCTTTGATAAGGTAAATCACAACATCCTTCTTTCAAAGCTTTCAAGTTTCGGCGTTTCTGGACATTTATTTTCATGGATGAAATCATACCTTACTAACAGAATGCAACAAGTCAAGATCGATGGCTATCTTTCTTCTCTTTTCCATGCATCCTCTGGGGTACCCCAAGGTTCTCACTTGGGCCCCCTTCTATTCAGCTTATTTATCAACGATTTAGGATCGTTGCTCTCGTCAAATTTTTTACTTTTTGCTGATGACTTGAAGTTGTATCGTCAGGTGACGTCAACTCAAGACATACTTATTTTGCAAAATGATCTTAACATCGTTCACGATTGGTGTCAGCTTAATTACATGTCCCTCAACATCGATAAGTGCTGTTGTATAAGATTCAGTAGACGCACCCATAGTGTTCCCTTGCAGTATTACTTAAACAATGTTCGCTTGGCTTTTCTATCATTAAAGATCTTGGTGTCTATCTAGATACTAGGCTAATGTTCACTGAGCATTTTGAAGTGGTAATTGGCAGGGCTAATAAAATGTTGGGGTTTATTAAGAGAGCTACTAGGGACTTTACAAGTATACACCCTATCAAAATTCTTTACACATCACTGGTCAGGTCCGTTCTTGAATTTTCATGCATAGTTTGGTCACCTTACTATCAGATCCACATCAATAGGCTTGAGAGTGTTCAACACAAATTTATTAAGTTTGCAAGGTACAAACTTTCTTTGAGTGGTGTAATTCTCAGTGAGGACCTGACTATGACTTATTTAGACTTATCTACTCTTGTTCGCAGAAGGGAATATTTTGATGTCTGTTTTGCATTTAAAATTCTTAACTACTACATAAAAAGCCACGAATGTCTTGAATGTTTTAATCTACACATTCAAAGTTATCAGACACGAAGTAAATCTTTACTGCACATTCCTTACTGTCGAACCTGGTACCTACTATTCAGTCCTGTGAATAGAATATCTGCCAATGTAAATAAGTTCTGTGAGGGCCTTGAGTTCTTTGGTTTATCTCTGGATAAATTTAAGACGAAGGCCAGGAGAATTGTTTTAGGTTAGATTTTTTTTTTTTTATTTAGATTTAAACTCTGTTCAACTTCAAATGTATTTTTCTTATACGTAAATAAATGAATAAAAAGATGATTATAGTCCTGAAATGACAAACACCTCAGATAAAAACGAAACATTTATCTGAAGCGACAGTCACAAAAAAACTAAAACTT